ATCCCTTACACAAGAAGTTAAGATGGTAGCATCCAAAAATTTAAAGGTGGGAGACTTGGTAAGGTTGCATAAAGATACGAGGATCCCGGCCGATATGATATTATTACAAACCTCAGAAAAGGATGGCACGGGAGAAGCATTTATAAAGACTGACCAATTGGATGGGGAAACTGACTGGAAATTGAGAATTGCGAGTAATGTAACTCAATCCATGAATAATATCACACAATTGATTAATAATATCTCGTTGATAGTTAGTAATCCTACTAAATCTATTCATCATTTTACGGGTAAATTAATATACCATCCACCACAACAGGTGGGTTCCGCATCGCCAGTTTCTAATAACGAAACCTTTGCATTAACTATTGATCAGACATTGTGGGCTAATACAGTTTTAGCTCTGGGAACGGCAATTGGTATAATTATTTACACTGGTATTGAAACAAGACAACTGTTAAACACCACCAAGACCGGTGTGAAAACAGGTTTATTAGAATTAGAGATTAATAAGCTATCTAAAATATTATGTGTCGTTGTTTTGTTATTATCGATCATTTTGGTTTTTGCAAATGGTTGGCCGTTGAAGAAGAACTGGTATATCGATATTATGAGATTTTTAATTTTGTTTTCTACAATCATACCAGTGTCATTGAGAGTTAACTTAGACTTAGCAAAGTCAGTTTATGCATCTCAGATACAAAATGATATGGATATAAGTAATACTATCGTCAGAACTTCTACTATACCTGAAGATTTGGGTAGAATTGAATATTTATTATCGGATAAAACAGGGACATTGACGCAAAATGATATGGAGTTAAAAAAATTACATTTAGGTACGGTAAGTTATGCGGGGGACACATTGGATATTGTGACGGATTACGTTGCAGGAATGTTGTCAGTCATGGATAACATGCACCTGAAAACCTCAAATAGTGCAGTGAAGAAGAAGGATTTAAACAGCAAAGTTTGTGATTTAATTTTAACGTTGGCAATTTGCCACAATGTGACCCCTACCTACGAGGACGAAGATGATGAAATTAATGGTGCCGTTACTTACCAAGCAGCATCACCAGATGAAATTGCAATTGTTAAATTCACTGAGCTGGTGGGTTTGAAATTGTATAGACGTGATCGTCATTCAATTTCATTGTTGCATTTACCAACAAATCAAGTCCTAACATTTGAGATATTGTACAATTTCCCTTTTAATTCAGACACAAAAAGAATGGGAATAGTTGTGAAGGATGTAAATAGAAACAATATCTGGTTTATGCAAAAGGGTGCTGATTCAGTAATGGCAAGCATTGTCAGCTCCAATGACTGGTTAGAAGAAGAAACCGGTAATTTATCTCGTGAAGGACTAAGAACCTTAGTTATTGGACGTAAAAAATTGAATACTAAGTTGTATCAAGAATTTGTTAACAAGTACCAGGAAGCATCCTTGTCGATGCACGATAGAGAAAGTTCCATGCAAAAGGCAATTAATCATTACCTTGAAAAGGACGTAGAATTACTTGGACTTACGGGTGTTGAAGATAAATTACAAAAAGATGTTAAATCATCAATTGAATTATTGAGAAACGCTGGTATTAAAATATGGATGCTTACAGGTGATAAAGTAGAAACCGCCAAATGTGTTTCAATCAATGCAAAAATTATATCAAGAGGACAATACATTCATCAAATCACAAATGTAAGCCATTCCGATTTGGCCATGAACCAGTTAGATATTTTGCGGATAAACTTAAACTCGTGTTTGTTAATTGATGGTGAATCTTTGAGCATTTACATGAAATATTATAAAAAAGAATTTTTTGAAATTGTGATTAAATTGCCGGCTGTAATTGCTTGTCGTTGTACGCCGCAGCAGAAGGCAGATGTGGCTACTATAATCAAGGAAGTTACAGGAAAAAGAGTTTGCTGTATTGGTGATGGGGGCAATGATGTTAGTATGATCCAATGTGCGGACGTAGGTGTTGGTATTGTTGGTAAAGAGGGAAAACAAGCTTCATTAGCAGCAGATTTTAGCATTGATCAATTTTGCTACCTATTGAAGTTATTGTTGTGGCATGGTAGGAATTCGTATAAGAGATCAGCAAAACTAGGCCAGTTTGTTATTCATAGAGGATTGCTTATCTCGGTAGCCCAAGCGGTATACTCAATTGCTTCAAAATTCGAACCCTTAGCCCTATACCAGGGGTGGTTAATGGTCGGGTATTCTACGTTTTACACCATGGCTCCGGTGTTCTCTCTAACCCTTGACTGTGATATCGATGAAAAATTGACCAAATTGTATCCAGAATTGTATAAGGAACTAACATTGGGCAAATCGTTGTCGTATAAGAGCTTTTTCATGTGGGTGTTGATCTCGCTCTTCCAGGGCAGTATCATCCAATTATTATCACAAGGTTTTCAGTCATTGGCTCTGGAAGACTTCACAAAAATGGTTGCTTTATCATTCTCGTGCCTCATCTACAATGAATTGATCATGGTGTGCCTCCAAATTAATAAGTGGAACAAAATAATGCTTTCCACCATTATCATCACCTTCATCATTTACATTGTTTCGATTCCATTCTTAGAAGAATACTTCGACCTAGACTACATAACTTCGTTTCTGTATACGTGGCAGACCTTGGTCATTTTGGTGATCAGTTTATTTCCGGTTTGGGCTTCCCAAGCAATAAACAGAAAATTAAGACCTCCGAGTTATGCAAAGGTCCAACAGGACTAGGAATGCTATACGATATACACGCCTACACGGACCCAAACGATAAACACGTCCGCAATTCATATTTCTTTACGACACGTCTATAGTCTTTAATTTTTTTAATTTGACATTATTGTAAACAAATGCCCTGGAAAAATTGATCCGTGTTCGGTGACTGAGCTCAGATTAGGAAATTCGATACAAATTAGGCAGCGGAACGCTTTTCCGCACATTTCCGCAGAACAACGCCTCCCCGACTTTAGACGAAATCATGCTCTATTTCCCCTTTGATTACATAAGAAAACTGGAACCATTGTGGTAATGCTTCCTAAAAAAAGCGAGTGATTATCGAACCACAACTATTGTGGCTTCATAATAGCATGATTAAATTGATAAGTAGACGTTTGTAATGGACTATAAATACAGAGAATATCCGCTCAATTAAAGAATTGACTAGAAATATATATTCCAACAATGTATTCAGTTCGCTATAGACCATACAAGACAAATTCAGCATTGTTATTGGGGTATTTAATGATCTCCACCACTGTACCATTTATGTTTTCCTATAGAGAAACCATGAATTCGCCATTGAGCACAAAGGGAACTATTAACGCACGAGCATTATTTAATAAGATTTAAATGGTCTGGGACCTATCAGATGGAAAAAAAACGGGTCTGCGGTATGTTGCAGCGATGCTTAGAATGACTGACGAAAATACGCACAAGAAATTAGGTTTAGTTCTTTATAGTTTTGGCACATTTGATAATCTTGTTGGTTACAAATACGGAAAGCTGATTAATATTTAATACACGCACATTTTTACGACTAGATTGTAGCATTATACTATAAACACGAATCTCTACTATGTACATCATTCGGCCTTTGCCCAGTGGGAATTTTCGACCAACTGTTTGGGGGTCTTCAAGCCACTGGCTACGTCGAATATTTTCTGCTTATCGGCGAGCGACAAGTCTCCATTCTTCATCAATTGCTGTTTTGTGAAGAGAGCAGACTTTAATGCTTCTGGGTCTTTGAACTGCGACTTGTCTACTGGCAAGTCGACTACCTCACCTTTGACCACTTCCTTGATTCTGGTGGATAATTTTTCAGGGTTGACGTCAAGTGTGAAGTTTGATTGCAAAAGAAAACGGTTTCTGGTAACTCCTGGGGCCAAGTTGTTGACTATATCTTTTGGAAGCATGTACGGGTATTTTGAGTCGAGCAATGCTTCTTTGGCAACAGATGCCACTCTTGCAGTGGTACAATTGTTAAAACTGGTAACCTTCCCGTACAAAAACGTATTGTTGTCCAATTGCGGTTTGTATGGTCCGTATGTGATGTTCTTCGATTTGATTGGTTGCACGTCAATGGCCTTTTGTCTTCTAGGTTCTCTGGGTCTTGTCGGTCTCTTCGCTGGTCTGGCACCAGCAGCACTACTCGTGGCTGATACACCTCCTGCACCACCTGTTCTAGGAGTCCTAGGAGACCTAGGAGCTCTAGGGCCCTTATATCCACTTTCTTGTCTATTAGGTCCTCTAGTTTCAATCTTGGCGTTGAATAACGGGTGGTCGGTCACTTGCACCTTTTCAGTTCTGGCCTTCACCGTCTTATCTGCTGGTCCTTTAGCTCTACGTGCAGCCCCCTGGGCTGCTCCTTGGCTTCCCTTTGGCTTGCCCAAACCTCCTTGAGCTCCTGAACCTTGTTTTTCTGCTATCTTCTTGGTCGTCGAACTGATCTTGTCGATCCTGCTCAAGAGATCGGTCAAAAACATCGACTCTTTTCCTGACTCGCTTGAGTATTCACGGATCCCGAAACGCCCGCCAGAACGCTTGAACAAATGCTCAATAGCAAATCGTCCGTTCATCAATCCACTTCTAAGCATATTTCTGTATTGGCTATCTGTTTGGTCCAAAATCACTACCACAAAGACTCGAAATTCATATTTAGTACCGTTCTGTGAAATTTTTCGGTGCAACATAGACTTCCTAAACCAGTAGCATATACATTTCTGTTTCGCATACCCTTGCCAGGAAATTACATAATATACTAAAGGTTACCCTGACGCCTCTCGGCCAATCAAAGCGTGTATTCATGGACTAAAAAGTTTTCCGATCCATTCGCACAGTTTGGCCGAAATTGGTTGGTTAAACAGTTCAACGAGTCGATTCGAAATATATAGGATTTTTCATTCTAATAAAAGGATATATTTAGTCTTTTTTTTGTATTTAATTGCAAGTTTTTAAAGAACAATATTTTATTTCTTTAATTTCAAAGTAGATAATGTTGTCAGCTCGTCCTGTTTTACGTAGTGCTGCTCGTTCAGTTGCTGCCGTTTCTAGAAACTTACGTGTCGTATGTATAAAATTGTTTGAATAGCCGTCGACGGGAGAATTGATTGATTGAGAGCCAGGAAGGAGAGGGAAGTGAATTGAGGTGAATAAGAGGCCAAGGGAGAGATACGAAGGTGTAATGATGACGGAGGGAAGATGAATGACGAATTGAAACTAGCCGCCGGGGAAAAGTGAAAAGTTGGCGATTGGGGTGAAAACTGAAAATAATCAATCAATTGTGCCAGAGCGGATGGTGTCGGGAGAGTAGCGACACCGAATCAAGACTAGGAAGATATACTAACGGAAAATAGGCTCGTCCAACTCAATTAGCCACTAGATGTTACGCTTCTACCAAGGCTGCACCAACTGAAGTTTCTTCTATTTTAGAAGAAAGAATCAGAGGTGTCTCTGACGAAGCCAACTTGAACGAAACCGGTAGAGTTTTGTCTGTTGGGTATGTATACATTGAATATTGATTGATGGTGGTGGATGGTGTGGTGGAAGGACCAAGTCGCGGGCTTGAATCGCACCCGACCAATTAGAATTTAATAAATTCCCAGCGAGTGAAAAATCCCACCACCATTTATCCGACCAACATAACACTTCTAGACTCTTATACTAACAATTATAGTGATGGTATTGCCCGTGTTTTCGGTTTAAACAACTGTCAAGCCTCTGAATTGGTTGAATTCACCTCCGGTGTTAAGGGTATGGCCTTGAACTTGGAAGCTGGTCAAGTCGGTATTGTCTTGTTCGGTTCCGACAGAGCTGTCAAGGAGGGTGAAACTGTCAAGAGAACTGGTAAGATTGTCGAAGTCCCAACCGGTCCTGAATTATTAGGTCGTGTTGTCGACGGTTTAGGTAACCCAATTGATGGTAAGGGACCATTGAACGCTTCTTCCACTTCTAAGGCTGAAGTCAAGGCCCCAGGTATTTTACCAAGAACCTCTGTTTTTGAGCCAATGCAAACTGGTTTAAAGTCTGTTGATGCTTTAGTCCCAGTCGGTAGAGGTCAAAGAGAATTGATTATTGGTGATCGTCAAACCGGTAAGACTACTGTTGCCTTAGATACCATCTTAAACCAAAAGAGATGGAACGACGGTAAGGATGAATCTAAGAAGTTATACTGTGTTTACGTTGCCATTGGTCAAAAGAGATCCACTGTTGCTCAATTAGTTCAAACTTTAGAACAAAACGATGCCTTGAAATACTCCATTATTGTTGCTGCTACTGCTTCTGAAGCCGCTCCATTACAATTCTTGGCTCCTTTCACTGCTTGTGCTATTGGTGAATGGTTCAGAGACAACGGTAGACACGCCATGATTACTTACGATGATTTATCTAAGCAAGCTGTTGCCTACCGTCAATTATCCTTATTATTAAGACGTCCTCCAGGTCGTGAAGCTTACCCAGGTGATGTTTTCTACTTACATTCCAGATTATTGGAAAGAGCTGCTAAGATGTCTGAAGCTAACGGTGGTGGTTCTTTAACCGCTTTACCAATCATTGAAACCCAAGGTGGTGATGTCTCTGCTTATATTCCAACTAACGTTATTTCCATTACTGATGGTCAAATTTTCTTGGAAGCCGAATTATTCTACAAGGGTATTAGACCAGCTATTAACGTCGGTTTATCCGTTTCCCGTGTTGGTTCTGCTGCTCAAGTTAAAGCTATGAAACAAGTTGCTGGTTCATTAAAATTGTACTTGGCTCAATACAGAGAAGTTGCTGCATTCGCTCAATTCGGTTCTGATTTAGATGCTTCTACTAAGCAAACCTTAAACAGAGGTGAAAGATTAACCAACATATTAAAACAAAAACAAGGTTCTCCATTAGCTGCTGAAGAACAAGTTCCATTAATTTATGCTGGTGTTAACGGTTTCTTAGATGAAGTCGCCTTAGACAGATTAGCTGAATTCGAAGAATCTTTCGCATCTCACTTAAAGTCTAATGATTCTGATATCTTAGATGCTATCCGTGACAAGGGTGAATTATCTAAGGAACTCTTAGAAAAATTGAGATCCACCACTGAATCTTTCGTTGCTTCTTTCTAAGTTTATGAATCCTAATGATTTATTATGATTTAAGATAATAATAATTCTTAGATGATACGAATGCTCTTTAGATGAAACGTTTAGGCATTGTTTTCAATTTTTATATACATTTTAACAAAACAAAAGATTTTATATTTGAATAAATTTATGTATTTGATATTTAAATTTAGTGGTGTAAAGTAAATTTTAGTCCCAACGTCGCGTTAAATCTCATCAACGGTTTTTCCAAAGGGTCGTTCACATATTCATTCAACTTGCAGTATATTAGCGTTGTATCGCTATCATTATCAACCATTTTGAGCTATATAATGGGCAGGAAGTCTAAGTCTAAAGTTCCTCAACAGAAATTGGATTTATCTGAGGAAATAATAAGTAATGAATCTAGGAAAGTTGCAGATTATAATTATGACCTATTACAAAGTGGTAATCCAGATAAACAATTTGAGAATGATTTAGATTATCTACTTGAATCAGTAGATAATCAACCACTGTGCAGTTCAGATTCTAAAGAGCTGTTTATACCTGATGAGATAGCTATCTATGATGAGGCAATCTTGCACGATGGACCAGTGCTGAAGGGCAGAAGGGCTAAAAAGTTCAAAATAACGCTAACTGATATCACGAAAGATATTAATGATATCAATTTCTCTTCTGATAGTGAAAACGAAAAACCTTTCCAGACGTCGAAGATGAAGAAAGAGAAAACTCAAACGAAAGCCAAAACTGATTTGGACATGGGAAAAATAGAGAAACGAATTGTGGAAGATAATCCAGATGAAAGAGAAAATCATTCGCCTGAATCTGAGGAAATAAAGCAAAGACGAAAAGAAAAGAGGCAGAGAAAAGATCACAGACGGAAATTAAGAAAGGCAAACCAGCAGGAATTTAATAACGATTTAATGACTGAACAATCTGAACCTCTGAAAGATATAAATGAGAAAATAACTTCGGACGAGCCATCCGATCAGAAAATGAAGAGAAACCCAAAGAAAGATAAGAAGAAGAAGGCAAAAACCAATACTGATGATACCAAAAAATACAAAGAAGATATAAAACACGAAGAACCAGAAAATAATAAAGGGCCTCATAATGTTGAATTAACCGAAGAAGAAATCGCTGAAGCTTTGGATAAGGAAGAAAACGAAATAGATTCAGCTTTGAATGAAAGTCTTAAGAAATCCAAGAGAAAGAATCGTAAGAAGAAAAAACAGGCTAGGGACGAAAATTCAAATAAAGAACCGTCACCAAACTCAACGATATTAGTTAGCAAGACAGATGAATTGATCACACTTGATGAGTTAAAGAATCAGAAAGTTGTGGACCAAGAATATTCTATTTATGACGAAGAAGCAAATTTAACGCGTAAAGAAAGAGATAAATTGCATCGTGAAAGACTGTCAGAAGCATCCTCTAAAGAGCTGAGGGAGAAACATAGCCCATTTGATGTTACGCTAAGATCAACAAAGAAAGCTAATACCAACAAGAAATATTCTGACTCGTTACCTGCTGTTCAATGTATTAAGACGATCATTGGTCTTTCACACCAACAGATTTTATCTCTTTCTTTATCTGATGTTAAAATCAAAACAATTGTTTCATCCTCTTCGATTTCGAAGTTTGCACATCACGTATTAAAGTTTGTTATCAAGTATTCGCATGATTTATTTAGTGACGACCAAAAGAAACAAACTTTTTTCAAATTATGTATGCATGTTGCATTATATGAGTCATCTGGGTTCAAGAAGACAGTTCAGTCATGTCCTCATGTACTTGAATGGTTCGGCCATTATGACGAATTAACCTTGGAACAGACGCACACTAAGCTAACTCCTTCTAGTCGAAATATCCATCAAAATAACTTCGATTATTCAGTGTTGGCATATATCGGCCATGTACTAATTTGGGCAGCATATCAGCAACGTCTGAATCATATGCCTACCTTTTTCAACAAATACAATATAGAATTGCCTGTCAATGAAATTGAAAAAAGTATCGGTGGTTTCCACTTATGGGATCGTTTGAAAAAGATGCATGACACGATGAATTCAAAGAGATGGAAACATGTTGTAAAATTTAGACAAGCATTTGCATACGAAGAGGACCAATTTATGTTAATTTTACGATTCATGGACGTTGATAGTACCATACCTTGAAATTAATATCCTTATATGAAATTGAGTCGGTGATCAACCATTCGTCATTATATTTAATTATATAGAGCTATTTGACTAATAAATATCCTAATATGGAGCAGCATAGCATTTATATGTAGTTATAATACTGATATCTACCTCTATGATTTAGCTAAATTTCATACAGGACTTATGCAACATGAGCTTGAGAAACGATTTTTCATCCAGTTCTACACGAAGAGAGGCTATAGATTCGATTCCGATAAGAGGAATGGCTTTCAAGTTACTAGTACTAAAGAATGATTGGTTCTTCAAACCTAATTCTGAATTCCCTGATTTTGAAAAGTTAACAAAACTTATAAATAAGGCGTATAGCAAAGCTCGTTATAAATTTGACATTATTACAACTCAAAGAATTAAAGATCCTACTACTTTTCTCGAAGATTTTTCCATTGACAATAAAAGGAGATTTTGTTTCTTCATATTACTTGGATCTAAGAGTCTGTTTGATAAACTCCGCTTAGAGGACGATTTTGATAGGGATTTTAGCATTCCCAACCGTAATTTAGATGAGAGTTATGCTTGTGACATTCCAGAGAAATATTATGATTTGCTTGGCTTTAATAATACTTCTGAGATCGAGATCGAGGAAGTAGATTGTAACTATATTTTAGATGACAATGTATTGAAAAGGGTATTGGGGACAGTTGGATTAAAGGCCTGCAATGAAGAGGAAACAGAGGTGAATGATACTAGTAAACTCGCACTCACTTGTTTTACATCGTTCATGAGAAATACTGCACCCCAGATTCTCGATACAGTGATTTATAAGTATTTACTTGAACCAAGATATATGTCTTCACACCTGCTCTTAAACACGACAACAAAGAAGGTGATTCTCTACGCAGAGGTTATACGCGAGCATAAATTGGTCGAGTATTATTCTTCCAAATGTGGATTTGAGTTCTCTTCCGAAATATTAATCGAAGTCGATGATAATGGGAAATTGAAGAACAATCCTTTTGAGGACAATATACTTGCTACAGGAAACTTCCATGTATCATTTATTCATAGAGAGATACATATTTAACCTAATATTATTAATGTAGGAATTTACATTGACAAGGGAATACTTAATACAAAAGTAAATAGTGATATCCAACGAATATACATACAGTTAAATATTACAACTTACTTTTATGATCCACGGATAGTTATTTTGAATACCCATTAGAAGATAACCATTTTGTAATAGCACCAGAATCACGAGTAGCCCAAGCACTCTTAGCAGTAATCATATCCATGGATTGAGCTAAACCCTGATCAAACCCTTTGGTGTTTTTGGATTTGAAAAATGATTGAACTTTATCTTTTTGTTCCTTTTTAGTAAATCCACAGGAAGCAAGCGTAACAACCGAACCTAACATAGATAATCCCGGAGGCAATAATTTGTAGACTTCATCCCAATTAATAGTCAACCAAGTCCATAATTTTTCAATACCTAATCTATGTGATCTCAAGCCTTGCATAGGAATGTAAATATCTTGAGCCTTAACAATATCAGTCTTCAATAACAATCCGGTAACCTTATCTAAAATAGCTTCATCGTGAAATCTACCAAGAGATCTCAATGCGGAAATCTTCTCTTCAATGGATTATGGATTCTTATAGATATTGAATAATTGATCAAAAGTTTCCAAATTACCATTCTTAGCAACAGTGTTGAAGATAGATGTTCTTAAATTAGGATGTATAGCTTTTTTATCGCCATCTACGAACTTTTTGAAAGAATCTTTAGCATATTCAACGGTTTCTTTGTGACCTGCATTTGCAGCAGAAGCAAACAAAGAAGATTTCAATTGTTGATCAGCAAATGAATCTTTTTCGCTGAATTCCCAACCCACAGATCTCAATTTATCACCAATTAAATCAATGGTAAATGTATTTAAAGCATTTTTAATTTCTTCAGGTTCAAAAATAAAAGCTGCCTTAATTGTACCAATTCTAGTTAAAATTTCATCCCAAACAACATAGTTGGATTCATTGGACCACGATTTAACTAAATTCAAAAAATCAGTAGTGGAGACAAATCCAGAAGAAGCTAATGAACCCGCATCAGCCACCAAACCAACACGATCTTCAACCGATAATTTGCCATCGACACCTGCCTTTCCTAATTTCGTCCAACGTGATGATTCATAAGCTGTACGATAGATACCAGCTTGATCACCATTTATTTTAAAGAAATCGTCAGATGTAGGAAGTTGCAAAGTTTTTGATCTTTCATCTAAAACCAACGATTCATCAAGACCATTAGACGTCTTCAAACCCAAGAAAACAGGGTACAAGATTTTATCTTCCTCTGGCTTGACATCACCTGTGGCTAAGAAACGGTTCTGAGTGACCTGGATTTCGTTACCATTAGTTTCCTTGACGGAAACAATTGGGTAACCAACATTCTTTGTCCAGATGTTCATAACTTTAATAACATCTTTACCACTAACATCACTTAAAGCTTCCCACAAGTCAGAAGTTTTCGTATTTCCCCATTTATGCTTCTTTAAGTAATTAGAGACACCCTTAATGAAGACATCTTCACCTAGCCATCTTGAAATCATTTTCAAAAGTGATGAACCTTTTGAGTACGAAATAGCATCGAAAATTTGGTTAATTTCATCGGCTCTCTTTACTGGTACTTCAATTGGATGAGAAGCTCTTAAAGCATCCAAACTTAAAGCATGTTGCAAGGAGTCCGAGACATACGATTCCCAAACCTTCCAATCTGGATATAATGCATCGCACGCATACCATGACATCCAAGTTGCAAAACCTTCATTTAACCACAAGCCATCCCAAAAATCCATGGTAACAAGGTTACCAAACCATTGATGGGCTAATTCGTGCATGACCACTTCTGTGACCCTTTGTTTCGTATTGATATTAGTGTTGCTTGGGTCTAATAATAAATCTGCCGTTCTATATGTGATCAAACCAAAGTTTTCCATAGCACCTGCAGAAAAATCATGGATAGCTACCATGTCACACTTTGGTAATGGATAAGGAATATCAAACTTTTCCTCAAAGAATTTCAAAGTTTTAGCAGCAATATCAGCAGAATAGGCACCTAAGTGTTCTGAACCTGGAGTGGAATAAACCTTAATTGGAACTCTATAGTCAGACGTTTCGACGTATTTCAAGTCACCCACGATGAATGCAACCAAGTAAGTCGACATTAAAGGAGTGGTGTTAAAGGAGACCTTCTTCTTGTCATGTCCTAATAAATTTGTTTCTCTTTCGTCCATATTAGATAAGCAAACTAAATCCTTATGGGAAATCAAGTTAATATCAAATTTAGCTTTTAAAGCAGGTTCATCGAAACATGGGAACGCACGGCGACAATCAGTAGGCTCCATTTGAGAAGTAGCTAAATATTTTGTCTTGCCATCTTCTTGATATGAAGATCTATAGAAACCTGCCATCTTATCATTCAACTCACCAGTGAACTTGATACTCAAGCGTGCATCAGCACCACTAACCAAGTGATCTGCAAACTTAAAAGTAACCGATTGTTGATCTTCATTGAATTCGATTTTTTCAGTTTCAACATCATTAATTTTAGCTTCGTGAATATCAATTTCTAAACAATTCAATGTTACGTAGTCAGATTTTTCATTGACGTGTAAATCTATTATGACTTGCCCATCAAATTTGAAAGTTTCAAAATTAGGCTCCAAAGTCAAGTCGTAATGAAGGGGTTTCACATTTGTTGGTAAAACCTCTCTATCTTGAGGAACGACTTGGGATGAAGAAGACTCAGTATTATTTCTGCACATGCTTTTAATTAGAGACAGTTGACTATGATGATTTCGTTTAAACCTAAGTGCAATTGACTTAAATAAAGAGCTCTGATCATTTACTGATGGCAAATAACTCTTAAATTTGTGTGGTGCGTGTGAGAACGAAATCTGACGATTTTGTTGGTAAATATGGTTCCAAGTGTTAGAACTGGGTTTGTTGAAAGATGCTCTAAGTGGAAACAATCGAGTCTTGCAATTGGCAAGAAGATACCGGCTCATCTTTCAGTCGTGTTTTTATAATTGAAAAATGGTGAATACTTGTAAATTTTTCACTTTTCAGCACTCTATCCCCGATCAATTTCGTAATATTCTACGGTATGCAAGAATAGATAATACAGTAGAATAGAATATAAATTCAATTTGAAAGAGAAATATTAATGGTTACAGGAAATAGACAAAGATAAATCGATATTTATTGTCAACTTGTTTGCGCAATCAAGTAAATGTGAACTATTATAAATAGCTAGATGTCAATTATGCACCCCCTATGTAATTGTAAGATTCTAAACAGTAAATTAAGCAGTTCTTTGTATTAAGTGAATACCACTATCACTTTCAATGATATCACTGATTTCACCAACATTTAATCCGAATGCAGCTTCTTCGAATGCAGGTTGCATTTGACCCTTACCGAAGAATCCCAAGTCACCACCTTGAGCATGAGAAGAGCAGTCACTTTCAGTGGAAGCTAAGTCTTGTAAACTGATTTCTCCACCCAATATTTTGTCTTGGTACAGCTTCATTAATAAAATAGCTTCGTCTCTAGTTCTGGTTATTCCATCTGGATATTTCCACGATTTTGGTCTCCTCGATTGATTACTTTTAACCAAAAGATGCGATGCACGAACCTTACCGTCTTCAGGAATAACAGGCTTATTTCCGTTTGCTTTGAATTTAACTATGTATTTCTGCAATTTGTCATTATCGGTTCCAAATGGTGGTTCCCATGATGATTCTTTAGTGGCTTGATTTAAGTAATATTCTTTATTATGCGTACGGGATACACGAATGGCCCAGTTTATTGGTAATCCAGTTTCAGTATCTGACATTCTATATACGTAAAGATACTTCTATAAAAATACAAACTAATGTATTGTCTATACTTGAAATAATTAATTTAGACAAAAAAACTCCATAGATCACGTGGAGCACTTCGTCAAGTATGGCCTATTGTAAGGTGTCAAGATAGCAATAGGAGTATGTTTAGACGCTTCTTGCCTTTAATGCGTCCTTAACTTGCTTGTAGACTTCATCAACAGGTTGATTACAGTTTAACTTAACAACTTTACCTTGCTTTTCGAAGTGGTCGACTACAGGCATTGATGTCTGAAGGAATGTAGAAAATCTCTTCTTAATACTTTCAATATTGTCATCAGTTCTACCACTGGTCTTTCCTCTTTCCAAAAGTCTTTCCAACATAACCTGTTCAGGACACTCGAAGAACAAGGTGAAAGTTGATTCTGCGATATCCTCTTCGAAGGATAATGCTTGATCCATTTTTCTTGGGAAACCGTCGATTAAGAACTTTGTTGAACCCTTTGAATAATTTTCCTTTATAGCTTGTTCTAATAATGCGAGTGTAACTTCTTGTGGAACAATCGTACCCTCTCTAATACACTTGTCAATTAATTCACCGTGCTTGGAACCTTGCCTGTGTTGCTCAGCTCTTAATAAATCACCAGCCGATAAATGAATAAATCCATGGTCGTTGACTAATTTAGCACATTGAGTACCTTTACCAGACCCTGGACCACCAAGGACAAAAATGACAGAAATCTTTCCCTTAGAGAATGCTGGGCCCGAAATTGGGGTGTCAATGGCCGATTTTGGGGACTCCTTATTGAAATTGGCAGCAAGGAAAGTAGAACCTATAGCTAAGGCACCCACTGCTAACAAAATCTTACCTTTCCCACCTTTAGCATTTGGAGGAGGTGGAGGAGGTGCGTTTGAATAGGATCGATAGTGAGGTTTAACATTCTTTATAAAAGTACGCTTGACAAACGATCCACTAAGTTGTTTCGATGAAACAGGAGTTCTTAATAATCGCAACATGATAAGTAACCGTAGTCAATATTTCAAATATTCTTAGGTGATATCCAAAGGGATTGTTATGCAAAGAAGAAAATTCTTTAGATTAAAAAAAGAAATATCGATTCGCTCGAATATTTATTTTTCAGTAGTTTGTAGCAGTAATAATAAATATGATAGCTACAGATTAAACAAACATGTATAAGGTCATATATATATTATAATATATAAATGATTACTGCAAGTACGGTTTCATGGCATCATCATTGATTCTTAAATATTTACCATCAATAGTCTTATCCCATCCGTTCAATGCAAGATTAACATAACAAGTAGCAGGGATTTCAGGTGGTAATAATTCATTGTTCTTGTGTAAATCAACGAATTTCTTTAAAGAGTCCTTGGTCATGTTCTTTCCGAACTTGCTTCTAATATCATTTTGCATATTTGTGTCTACCACTCCTGGTGCAACAGAAATGGCACTGATATCGGATTCTTCCGATGCCACGGATAAGATAAAATGGTTTAAAGCAGCCTTAGACGCACCGTAAGCACCCCATCCATTGTATGCTGTAGTTGAAGCACCTGACAGAACAGCTACAATATTACCTTTTGTTTTCCGCAACTCTGGAATACATTGTTGAACCATATCAACGACCGCAAAGAAGTTTATATCAAACAATCCTCTCCATCCATTGACATCAGCCTTCGATACCTGGTCGACTGGATCCAATACACCAGCATTGGCTATAATGGAGTTGATTTGACCGAATTTTTCAATGGCCAATTTCAAGGCTTTGGTGCTGGTTTCTGGCTTGGCCACATCCCCAACTACAAATTGAACTCGATCAGATCCATATTCTTCTGATAACTTCTTTAATTCCTTTTCTGATCTAGAGACTGCAACTAATTTGTTGCTAGAGTCCTTCTTAAGGTAAATTTCGGCAATGGAACTACCGATCCCTGAATACTGTTAGTAAAGACTCAATTCGTCAAATTCTACCACAACAAACCACACTAAACAAAACACATACCTCTAGAGGCTCCTGTCAAGATAGCTACGTGTGTCATTTGTAATTGTTTTAGTATATTCTGAACAAGTGCCATATATTTTGTAGTATAAGTAGTATACCACTTCTCACGTGTCGCAATTCGACGTTAAGAAATTCTATCAGTTATCATAACATAAGAATACATCGTATATGGGCTTCTACAATTAATTAAGGAAAGTTATGAATATAAATCTAGATTCAGCGAAGGATACGTTCTGCAAAAATGTCCTAATATATGGGTACTGTAAATATGAAAATAAAGGATGTGCTTTTAGCCATACAGTTAAACCGACGTCTAGCGTACCGGGGTCTCAAGGAAGTAACGCAACAACGAACAGTTCAGGTAACACTAATGCAGATATGAAAAAGAAGTTTAATTTTAATACACCATCGTTTCAACCGTCAAGCGTTCCGAATTTAACGAATAAGTTTTCAAATTTGTCGCCGAATTTAAAGGAAATACCGGTTTTCGTGCCATCTGGAGGAATGAGTAATGCTGATTCAGGCGGTATAAACGAACCAGATATGAACGATTCAGTCACTCCTAATAAGAAATTCAATGCGTCAACACCATCATTCATGCCATCTAATCCATATATCACAAACAATGAGCAAATTTCGGCACCTTCTCCCGTTATGGCACAATCTGTTGGTACTCCTGGGGCCAAAGCTAATGGAAATATACAACATAATCCATATTTACCAGGGAATGCTGGTACACCACAACCAACTTCAGCAGTGGCAGCTCCGAACTCAGCAGATGTATTTTTTCAACAACCTACTTCGTCGTATCCGCTACAACATCATTTGTATGCTCCAGCACCACCTCCAAGGTTGACTATACCGTTACCGCCACATGAAATAAACGTGAACCTGATGTTCATTCCAAATGACTTGAGAGAAACGTTATTAAAGAGAAACGAAGCTACTTTGCAGACGTTGCCAAGATCTAATTTGCCTGACCATGTAAATATATACCATTCGTTGGTCCCGATCGATACTTCATTTGAAAATATATCGAAAGTATATGAACTTCCTAGTTTTGTATACAAGGTGTTTTCCAATGTGGATGGTAACCCGTACGCATTGAGAAAAATCGATATACAATCAGTTTTACGAATCACCAATGAATTGCCCTTCAAATATATCAAGAAATGGAAGTCTGTTAAATGCGCAAATATCGTTCAGTTACAGGAAGCATTTACAAGCATGGCATTTGGTGGCTCATACAGCTCCTTGATAGTTACCTATGATTACTTTCCTAACTCCAACACATTGCAAGAGCAACATATCAATAGAAGATTAGGAGGTAAATTGGAACCAATAACAGAAGAACTATTATGGACTTATGTGATCGAAGTTACCAATGCATTAATAAATATACACGAAAATGACTTGGCAGCAAGATCGGCATTGGATCTATCTAAGATTCTTGTCACAAATAAAAATAGAGTCAGGTTGGGTGGTGTTGGTGTAAGCGATATCTTGAACTATGAAGAAGATGAAGAACAAATCCAACAAAAAGGTTTAGAGGCCTTTAGACACGAATTACAACAAGCAGATATCAAAAAATTCGGAAAATTAATATTAGACTTGGCAGCTTTATGCTTGCCCAATAATGCTAGAAATCATGAACCAAAAGACTTGATAAATCTTTTAAAGACGTCAACTACCGTCAGCTTTAGCTGTGAATTCATTAACCTTCTTACTGACTTGAACATGAATACATCCGATTTGCAAGAATTCAACAGAAATCATTTATCCCGCAGAATCTTGAACTTTTGCGGTAACGCGCAAGACCTGCAAGATTTCATGGAATCACAGCTCTCCACCGAATTGGAAAACGCCAGGGTCTTCAGATTAATAACAAAGCTAAACTTCATCATAGACAGACCCGAATACGAAAACGATCCTAATTGGCAAGAAAACGGCAACAAGTACATTATCAAGTTGTTCAGGGACTACATATTTTTCCAATACGACGAATTTGGAAAGCCCGTATGTGATTTGTCCCGGGTTCTAACTAACTTGAATAAACTAGATGCTGGTATCGATGAGAAGTTCTTGCTTGTCAATAAAGATGAAAAGAACTGTATTATTGTTAGCTACAAGGAAATCAGGGATATTATTGACTCAGCA